CCCCCCGGCCGCGCTCACCTGCCCCTCCGTGTTCCCCGTGTGCCACAGGGCGTTCCGCAGGTGCTCGCCCGTGCCCGTGGTGGAGTTGACCACCTTGAGGGACACCCCGGAGTAGCCGTAGGCCCGGGTGGGCCGGTCCTCCCAGTAGGTCTGGGTGACCTGCTTCCACATGACCACGTAGAAGCGGCTGCTGGACTGGTACCCGAAGACGAAGCCGGCGTAGTCGTCGTCCCGGTCCGTGTTCACGTAGAAGGTGCCGCTGAAGTCCACGGACCCAAACTCATCGAAGCCTGGGGCAGAGGAGCCGGCCGCGGGCCCGGCGGGATTCTCAGGTGGGTGCCAGGGGCCCTGGGCACACGGGGTGGCGGCGCCCTCGCCCACCCCGCTCAGCTGGGACCACAGCGGTGGGCATGGGCGCGAGGCAGCCAGCTCACCCCGGGGGCGGGCGTCAGAGGCCGAACACAGCAAACCTGAGCCGGAAGCCCCGGGACCGGGGGCCACGCTGCGCCTGCCCCTCAGCGCTGGCCCGAGGCCTGGCACGCCCTTGGGCGGGGCCGGGAGGCGCAGGGAGGGCCTCAGAGGGGCCCGCGAGCCTCACCCACTGCGATGCCGGGGTCGGAGTTGGCCGTCTGCACCAGCTCTTTGCCTTGGTGGCGGATCACCCAGTTGGGGTCGATCTGAGTGGTGCCTTTGGGGTCCAGGTGCACCATCTGGAAGTTTCGGAAGTCGGTCTCGCTGATGGCGTTGTTTTCCGGACACACGTCGTCGATGTCTGGGACACTGTCGTTGTCAAAGTCGTCCTTGCAGATGTCACCCCGCCCGTCACCTGTCACCAGGACCACAGCACATGGAGGCAGGCCCCAGCTCGGCAGGCCTGCGGGGTCGGCACCCGCGCTCGCCCCTCCGTGACCCTGGCCTCACGGCTCGCAGGCTCTGCCCAGAGGTGGCCCGGCGGGAGCTGGGTGGGGCCCGGACCCCCGGGGGCAGCCCAGCAGCCTGCACAACCCAGGCGGCCACGTGTGCCCCAGCCAGGGCAGCTGAGTCTCAGCTCCTCCCCGGTCACTTGGGGCCTCTTTGTGGCCTCTTAGCCACCCGTGGC